TGTTTTATGTATTTATGTTATGGGTGCAGTGTAAAAATGGATGTGGAAAAAAACCTATAGCTGTGTTTTTGTGTTCATACTCACAAACAGGAACGGGAAAACTTCCAAAAGCATTCTTGGTGTTTTGTACTTGTCAAGACACTTCATTTGCTCTCATTCCCAAGCTTCAGAAGCTTCCTCTTTGTGATTGCAAACAGATGACGGTGGAGCGTGCAATTAGACACATACAAGTAAATTCCAATCAGTGGTAGCCTGCAGCAGCTTCGCAGTATTCACATCAAATGGAAGCCAACTCCTAGCATGAAGCTGTTAGATAAATTAAAATTGATTTTTAGAAGCAAACTTCTGTGACCTTCTTCATGGCACCCAGCAGTATCTATAACATCTGTCATTTATTAGACATCATGGTTGGGATTTTTGACCATCCACTGAGCTTGGACATTCAAAAACCAGTCTGCACCTTTGACAGCATCAGTGCAAATGTGAGTTTTGACTATTTGGGAGAACAACGATTCACAGAAGGGGGAAGTGTCTGCACCTCTTTACATGCACCAAGAAACATTATTAAGAATATACAATTTAGGAGCTTATTTGAAAATAACACCTTTAAAATTTGAGCTTTTAGTACAACTAGAATAGATTCTGCAGATTTACCCTACCCTTGCCAATCTTTACAATCTTTCTTTCCAAAACAGAGAAGACAGATTCTCCAATATTGTAGTTTTTCCAAAAATTCCCCCAGTAAAACCAGTGGTTAGTGTTAGCAGCTATTCAGTGCACTCAGTGGGCGTAAATATGACAGCACTGGCTTTCATAACAGTGTAGGAACTGCTAAGTAAATATGGTCTAAGTTTCTGAGTTACCTATCTTAATCTCTGATAGCAAGGTCAGGTCCACCACAGTTTATTGGGTAAATGGCAGAGCTCTGCAAATACGATCACATCAGTCTGGCTAAAAACATTTATATAAGAAATAAAAATGGCTCTGAGCATAGAAAAGTTGGCAATGTTTATTTTAAAGTTACTGGGCAACCCTGGTGTATATGTGCAATTTCAAAACCAGGCTTTTAGTGCAGAATGAGTCTTCAGTGTCCTTGATCTCTTTTTATAGGCAATGAAATGCATCCCCCACATTTCCAAACACTTTAGAGCCTTTGGAATTCACTCGATCATAAGAAACAGTCCTAAACATCTTCTCTATTAACAACTATATTGCCCCAATTACTTCAGGTCAAAGCAACATGATTGATTGCAAAGCAAAGCATCCTCATTTCAATGACTTCCAGTTTTCTGTTTTTCTCTGAAAAGCAAATCCAGGCCATTCGTACAGTGAGGCGTTAGACAAAAAGTTTCCAAAAACAGCTAGCAGAATGCAACGAAAGTAATTTAGTAACACAGAAAAAATACAAGTACAGTTATACAAGTGTTCGTGTTCCAAGAACAATTGTAAGTGGGTTTTGTTTTGATTTTGAAAAATCTCCAATATCTCAGGGTAGCTGCAGCAGACCACACACTGGAAAATTATGTGTTTTTCTGGTCACTGTATAATAAGAAAGGATTTTTCTCTCTGAGACAGAAAAGGCCTATTCAAGGTTGGAAAGGGAGTGTAACTGGGAAGAATGAAGAATCAGGAAGCTGGGGAGAGAGGTTATAATTGTGTGAGGATGACTTGGTCTGGTTGTCTGAACGGCTGCCAGGGAGTTAGGAAAGGCAGCTTCTTCTTTTTCATCAGCCTGGGCAAAACACATAGGCTAGAAGCAAAAATCACATAAACACCAGTTTGATGATATCTGTTATTAGGGGTGACTCCACCTCTGGTTGTCTAAGAGGTTGTGCAATACAAAATGTAGCATAGATAGAAAATCAAGTGGGAGGATGAATATCAATCGGTTTAAGACAGTGGGGTTTGTGCCAAAGTTTTTGTGCTATAGTCACATAGCAATTTCTCAGCGAGAAAATGCATAAATATCTACATCATTTATGGATGCAGATCCACTCCAGGCTGTAGACAAGGAGCCAGCAGACAAGTTGTAAACTGAGAGTTAGTTGTGAGTTGTGACTTTCCCCTGACTGCAGAACCCACCGCAGTGAGCCAAGAGCATAACCTCCTTTCCAGGTTATTTTACTGCAGTCACTGGGCAATTCTGGATGGACTCCACCGAGTACATTTTTTTAGCATTCTTCTTACCAATAAAAGAAAATAAAAGATTTTATAGCCTTGATGTGTTTCTGGCACATTATTGAAACTGCTGCTAATAAAACTTTCCCAATATTAAACAAGAGGAAAAAATGACCAAGCTGTAGCAGTGTAAATATCTCACGACTTTAAATAAAAAAAACAAGCCTAAACTTGGGCTTTTATGCAGTAAACTAGAAAACAACATCACAGGAAAATATTGTGTTAAGAGAAGAAAATCCACATAAGCACAACTGATACAAACTCTGTGCCATTTCTGTCCAGTCTCCGTTTCTCATCTGTAAACAGGGGTCATCTTTGTCTTTGCTTCCACTGCCCGCTCTCTGAAGAGTCATAGTCTCTCTCCTACCATGCCAAAGCATTTGTTTTTGGTGTGTTTTTTATGTGCAGTTGTGATTTAACGAGGAATGAGTAATGCTCACTCTTAATCACCACAACTCTAGTGTGACACAGCACCACAGTGACTCCTGCACACTGTCCTGCCCAGCTCTGCAGCAAATAAAGCATGACAATGGACAGCGAGTACTTAAAAACGTCCCTTAAGCGCCAGACTCACCTGCAGTGGGGTAACCTATGTATACAGTACTGCCCTTTACATGCATCATAAATCACAAAGTGCATGAGCTGTTTGATTTTCAATGATTACCACCTCTGTATTTTAAAATGGTCCGTCCCGATGAGCAGAAGTCAAGCACGTGTACCAAGAGACCTGCATGGAGGAACAAGGAGCTCCTGACGATATTCCCTCTATGGTTTCAATGCCCTTTTTCACTTCTGAGATCAGAGGCAGTATCTGAACTACATTGTTGTCACTTATTTCATGCTACCAGGCAACATTTTTCGTGTTAATGCTCTTTGGTGAATTTGACCACGAGAGGGCACCAGTACTGCTTAAAAAAATCCCCAAACAAATAAAAAAAACCCAACAAGTAGGTAAATAAATTAATGGGAATTTGCTTACAAACTGTATAGCTTCAAAGCAGCAGCCATGGGGTGCACTGCATGGGGAGAAAATCACCCAACTACCCAGAGCCAACAGAACGGGTGCTTTTCCTGCTTCCCCTGCAGAGCACTGTCCTTGGGGTGTCTGGTGAAAGGTTCACACATCTTTCTGCATCAGTTTAGTCCAGATCCTCTCTCTTGTTTTTTTCCACAGAGACACCGCCATAAGGAATTTCTCTAGAAACAAAAGAAAAGAAAAAGCCTATTATTATTCAAGATTGCTTCAAAATTATGCCATGTAAAAACAAACCCCTTGGCCTCACACAACCTCCCAGCGAGATCTCCCTGCCAAATACCATCTAGGATACAGGCATTTGTACCAAGAGGAAAAATGTCTACAAATACCCTAATCAAGGGTAAGTGCAATTAGGTATGAACATATAGATCCCTCGCAAAGCTAATTTTGCTTACAAAGGGAAATAGCCCATTGCTAAAAGATCCGTATGGTTAGCTAAACCTTTTCCTGCAGCGCTGGCTGTGAATACAAAAGGATTGTTCTTTTTTGTTTTGGCTGTACGTGAACAAAATGCTGTTTTCAACGAGATGCTTCTCCCGAGTTTTTGTGACGGTTGGATTAATTCCGTGCAATTATTCCCTGAAAGTGAATTTATTCTGAATGCCCCGGTAAATTTCTGGCAGTTCAGAGGAATCGCCCAGCTGGGACACATCCATTGCGAGGAACACCAGGTAAGTCAGAAATGGGGGAAAAATTAAAATAACTCAGTCTGTAATCAGGGTAGAAGGTGGTGGAGCTGCTAGAGAATAAGAGACTCGAAAAGGTGTTTTAAAACACCAGCCTTATAGTCTAAACTTGATGAACCTTTTGGCACTATTTGAATTACCTGTTTATTCTGCTGTATTTCTAAAGGTATGTGGCAGAAAACAGAGCAATGAAGAGTTCCAAAAAGCAAGTAATCACTTGAAATTTGATAGAATATTCTGCAATGAACTGTGCATAAAATGAAACGATTTTCTTCAGTACAGGGTGTTGTAAAATCGTGTTTGCTTAAAGATGAGTTTTTTGTGCTCGAGCAATTCTTGAAGCACTGAAATTATTCCTAATACAGTTACCAGGCCAAAGAGTGACAAAATAAGCTGATTTTGACTCAGTTGTTATTCCTAGCTCCAAATGAGCTACCTAAAATACAAATCAGATAGTTAAAAATGTCTAAAACCATAACACCTTAAAATGGTATTAAAACTACTCTTTAACTTCGGAACAGAAAGATCAGCACCCCTGCAGAAGCACACAGTCCTGATCCTGTCTGAACAGCCCTATTCCCAACAACTGTAAGTATTAATTTTCCTTTCCAACTTCCAAAAGCTTTGTTTCCATTACACATTTAGGTGGTGAGATGCTAGCAGCATAATCCTTTTCATTTCTGGCTCCCACTCCCAATCACTGTTTGTAGGGGTTTAGTTACTGACACTGGTGGGACGGTTTGAAATCCAGAACAAAATATCAACAAAAAGACTTTTAAAATAAAGCTAAGTAACATTATGGAAAATATGCAGAGAGCACCTCTAAGAGTTACGATTTTGTACTTCATTCTTCTCTCATTTTCATCATCTTGCTTAATTGCATCTTCCACTTAGCCCAAGCGCTGCTTTCAGCCTTTTATGAAAATCATACCCATTTAGCAGAAAAAATAAGCTCTTCCCTTTTGATCCCCCTAAGCCCACTTTGCGGAACAGCAATACTTGACAACGCTCTCCTGTTTCATCAGGTGGGAACTCGCAGAGCGCGCTTTGCAGTGATGAAATCAACAGCGATGAAAACTTATGCTCTGAGAGTATGGTACATGCTGGTGCCGATGATACGGCTGAACACCGCTGAGGATTTCCAGTGGACAAAGAATAACCCAGGCTCTTTCTATTACGGCACTTTCCCAGCTGGTACTTTTGAATTACAGTTTACTGTGGGGTTTATAATGCTCTAGATCCACTTGGCTGTTTGCACAAGAAAGCTACCAAAAGGTTTTCCTTGTCACAGGAAAGCACAGCATAACAAATCACAGTATAACAAACCACACCTGAGAACTCTTCTTTTTCATAAATAATCTACGAGTAGTGAAGAGTTATAAACTAAAACTGCCCAGCTAATTGAAGAAATGAGCGTGAGTGAAATAACTGTGCTGGGTTTGTTTCAAGCTGTTCAGTATTGCCCAATTCACTCTTCACTACTGCTTTATGAAGTAGTGTCCTTTCTTCAACACATATTTATACACATCCACACCTTTTGTTCAACCAAAATCTAAACTAAAAAGATCTAGGCACTGATTTGCTTTCATGATCAAGTTTTTAACTGGCTTATGAAATAAAATAGTCATGTCCTTTTGTATCATACTAGGAAAATAAATCAGAATCTATCTATTTTTACACAACAACTAAACTTGTAATTGCTAAAATACCCATAAAAACTAGCAGGCAGAAATAACGTGAGGACCCAATTTTTTCTTGCAGTAAGACACTGCTGCCACGCTATGGATGCACTACCTCAGCAGTGTAAAATAGCAGTCATAAGGTTTAATATCTGAAAGAATAAGATTTCTTTTTCAGTGCATGAGAAAAGGATACTTTTAGTCTATACCCCATTTTCAGGCAGTCTCTTTTTACACATCAATAATAGAAACAATTGGCCTCTTGATCGTGCAGTCACACATATTTCACGCCAAGCTCTGTAGCTGTGAAGGTCTATCGATTACTTTCTCTCATGAAAATTTAGTACAAAGACCAGTTTTGCAGCAAACTGTTTAAATCATAACTCGCTTCTTTTTACCTTCAGGTTTTTTATGGGGTGTTGGAAGCTCTGCATACCAGACTGAAGGGGCCTGGGACAAGGATGGGAAAGGACCAAGTATCTGGGATGCTTTTACTCACAGGAAAGGAAAAGTGTTTAGAAATGAAACAGGAGATGCAGCATGTGACGGGTACCACAAAGTGAAGGTATCGTTACAGAGGAAGTATCCCTCTAGAAACGTTCTGGGGCCATTTCACAATACTGAGTTCCCATTTTGAAGTAACAGCAAAGATTAAATGCTTGGGTTGCTCCACAGCCACAATCAACTTTGGAAGCCAAGGGCTGGTATCTTCAATTAATTCAGTTAAAACCTTCTTTCCTCATAATCTCATAGAATCATTAATACCACAGCATCTCAGGTTTTCAGGATTTTTGTGTCCAAAGAAACAGTCTAAATTGTGTGGGAAGTCCAAATGCTTAGTCAGAACAACAGTGAATGCATTTTATCTTCGAATAAAATTCACATCTTTCTGTGTGTGTTTGGGTAGCTTTAAAGTTCTATTTATATTTAAGAAGAATACAATTTTCTGTTGCAGAATACCTCCACTCATTTTTCCACCCTCTACTTGACGGCGAATCCATTCAGTTACCATGGTTGTTAACTCAACACATTACAAGACTCCTTTGCAGAGTCAAAATAAATGGAGAAAAATGAGGTATACAAGTAGCAAGAGCCATCATCTCAAACCAATGCAGGAATAGCTGATGGAATCCACTTTTGTGCAGCTCTTCTGCATTCAGTACTATTCAATACATGAGTAAGTGAAGTTATTCTGCTTGGACTTGAGCTATGTTAACTGGATTTTGTTTTCACAGGACGACATTCAGTTACTGAAGGAGCTGAAAGTGAATCACTATCTATTCTCTATCTCGTGGCCTCGCATTATGCCCACTGGCATCAAAAGTAAGCATAACCATTTCACCGTATTCTTACCAGGATTAGTAGGCAAAATTCCTTGGTTACATTTTTCAGATGTCTATTTGAGAACCAGTCCAGGTAATTTCTTGTCTGTGTTTCATCAGCAGAGGAATTGAATGAGAAGGGAATACAGTTCTACAACGACACAATTAACAGCCTTCTGGAAAACAACATTACCCCTATTGTGAGCCTCTACCACTGGGACCTTCCTCAGGTCAGACAACATTTAAAGTAGTGAAATGTCTAATATAAATGTGTCTGAGAGAAATACATTTCCTAGAAAAATGTTTCAAGATGCCTGCATGCTTTTAAGTGTGCTTGGAATTATTTTCTGTTCCTTTGCATTGTGTGTACATTGTAGTTTCTATTTTTGAAAAACCTTCTGAGCTACTGAAATATAAATTGGTCTCTGTTAATAGGCAGCTGAACTTTAAATGACATTACTGATTCCTCAAATTCTTCTTTATGAAGGTTCTCCAAGAAAAGTATGGCGGCTGGCAAAATATAAGCATGATAAATTATTTTAATGATTATGCAAATGTATGTTTCGAGAAGTTTGGCGATCGTGTGAAGCACTGGATTACTTTTAGCAATCCTTGGGTAAGTTATCGATGCTTTTCTTTCAGTCACTCCCATTACACCGTTCTGCTGCCAAAATTCAGTGGAAGTAACACTACAGGCCACTACATCATCCATGGAGCAGTGGGGCAGTAGATGGGAGCCAAGGGGAGGGAAAGGAAAAGGCGACAGAGGTTGAGAGAGAGACCAACCATGCAGAAGAGCACAGGATCCAAGGCCACAGGATGGTAGCAAATTGCTGCTCTGCTGTTCAAGGAATAACTAATGCTGTGTATTTGTAGGCAGCTGCCGAAAAGGGTTACGAGACAGGAGAACACGCACCAGGACTGAAGCTCGGTGGATGCGGAGCATACAGAGCAGCGCACCATATTATTAAAGTAAAACTAAAACCATTACTTAAATTATGTGTAAATTAAGAACTTTTTGTACAGTAAGATTTTTTAATTCTGCTCTGTAAACACAAATAGTTTTGCAATGGTGTCATTTCCAACTAGCACATCCAAGGTATCACCTGACTATAATCCATCAATCCATATGCAGATGTAACAGGAAACGCCAAGTGCTTGATGTGACATTGCTGCAACAACTTAATTTCTTTCTTACAACTTGTGTCACTTTTACACTGTTTCAAACTGGTTGAATCAGAAAGTATCCAGGTTACTTTAGAAACAAGGAGTGAAATCCTGACCTGTTGCAATGAACTTGAATTTTTCACATGACTTCAGTAAGGCTGGCTCTCGTTAAAATAGACTTTCATTTGCCTGAACTAATTAGGCAAGGACAGCCAAAGACTGGAGATGCTGGACAGAACACTATACTGGATGCTGCTTATTGCCTTCATAGGGACCTCCTGGAATTTAGGAAAGGAACCTTGCATCAATGCTTTTTTAACATTTTATATGAAATTAAAGCTTCTACAATACACATTAAAGAAATTACGTGGTATTTTCAGACACACCTTAGTGCGATAACTTGATCTTCACTAGCTTTCTATATCAACTATGGCGTAACAGATTAAAATGTGTATATGATTTTTAAACATTTTTTAATTTACAGACTCATGCGAAGGTCTGGCACTCTTACAATAACACATGGCGTAGTGAGCAGCAAGGTAATAAGGATTCATTCTGTAATTATGCTTCTGTTTCTAGTAAGGGCTTAAAGATTATGCAGAAACTGCAGAATTGTCCCTTTGTGTTTTAAGGCATGGTTGGGATTTCCCTCACCAGCGACTGGGGTGAACCTGTTGATCCACACAGCCAAACAGATAGAGACGCTGCTGAGAGATACATACAGTTTCATTTGGGATGGTTTGCAAATCCAATTTACAGAGGAGACTACCCAGAAGTTATGAAGAATTACGTAGGTAAGTCCCAGGAACCGACTGTAACGTGAATAAATGACACACTTCAAGCACATTATAGCGGAATAACCCCTGACCTCTGTGCGGTTTAATCAAGTGTGAGGACGCAAGCGGGACAAGGCAAAGCAACAAATGGCTCATGGGCAGTTTGGGGGTCATACTGGAACTAAAATTTGAGCTGCTGTTGAGCCCTACAGTTGCACATCCGAGTGCTCCAAACTGGAAAGGAAGCAACCACCTCACTTTTCAGTCACAGTCCATTTTCAGTGGCCTAACAAAGACAGGGAGTTGTTAAGTACTCTTCTGGATTTTTCACCTAAGGACAAAGAACCAGGGGTTTTCATCACTGAAGCTTGCATTTCTACAGCCTTCCACTACCTTTTTTACACAGAATGAAGAAGGTAGGCAATGTACCCAGCAGCAAAGCATTTCCTTTCTTGTCATGTTATGTTTTTAAGCATTCTGTTGACATTTATCATGGGGGAAAAAAACAAAACAAAAAAACCCCAGTTCAATTCAATGTCTTTTCCACATCTTGTACCCAACTTCCTTCTCCAAAGTAAAAAGATGAAAGATCATTTTATCTTAAAAAAAGCAATCAAACTAAACTGTCCTCTGCCCTGACAGCAAGTTCAGGAACACCGTATTTATTGTTGGTGAGGTAAAGAAAACAAATTTCTCTGCTCCTCAGAACTTTCCTGTAATTATTTTGATAGGTAAGAAGAGCGCCCAGCAAGGCCTGGGGACATCAAGATTACCAACTTTCTCGGTGCAAGAGAAAACCTATATTAAAGGCACGTCGGATTTCCTGGGAATCGGTCATTTTACCACGCGTTACGTTATACAGAAGAGCTTCCCCTTTCTACAAGTGTCCGGTTACCACACTGACCGTGACCTGGCTGAACTGGTGGACCCAAATTGGCCAGCTCCAGGACCTAAGTGGTTATATTCTGTGCCTTGGGGATTTCGAAGATTACTCAACTTCATTAAGGTGATCACAGAGTCCGTCTTGAAAAGGGAGTGAACAAAATGTTGGGTTACACTTACACTATTTTAGATTTTCAAGATTTTCACCTGATATCTGTCTCGTCATACTGGAAAGTTTCTTTGCTTAAAAAAACCCATCCCTTAATTTCAGTTCAGAAAACTATAGAATTTACTAATTTTAAAATAAAAATACATCATTAACTTCAATTCCTAGTTACACATTGTTCTAACCAAAGGTAACTGTAAATAAATCTAGAAAATTGCTTTTAATGCATTTTACTACGACTCTCATGCTCTGTCGAGTTAAGATGGTTTCATTTCTATGAACCAGTCTGAATGCATCTTTGTTTGCAGACACAGTATGGGAACCCTCTCATTTATGTGACAGAGAATGGCGTTTCTGACAAGGTACAGTGTACTCAACTGTGTGATGAATGGCGGATAGAGTATCTGAAAGGATATATTAATGAAATTCTGAAAGGTAACTTGAAAAACATCTTTTTAGTGCATGAGCTTTTTGAGCCTTTTCACCTTCTGATTATTTTTCACTCCTGTTATTTACATCGTAGAGAAATAAATATTCACAGATCAAAATGGGCTGCAAACTAGACTAACATATTCTTTCACAACAAGGACAACCTAGCCAAACGTACTGATGCTAATGAATACAATAACCTGTATGAGATTTACTACTGTAATAGACCATCAGTTTCCACTTTCAGAAAGGAGAAACTAATTACCATTCTTACAGAGCTCTGTTACCTCTAAGCTGAAGATAACATTTTCAAAGAATCTAAATTACTTTATGCTTTGCCAATTTTTTGTCCTTCTCCCCCCTCCCTATCTCCTTCTGGTATAAAACAAACCCCCTACAGAACCATATTTTAAGGATGATGAACATAGGCAACAAGTTTAACAGTAATTTGTATTCTGTTGACAGCTCTAAACGATGGTGTTAATGTCCAAGGTTACACCGCCTGGTCACTGCTGGATAAATTTGAGTGGAACAAAGGCTTCTCTGAAAGATTTGGATTTTATCACATTGATTTTAAAAACAAGAACAAACCACGATACCCAAAGGCATCCGTTGACTATTATAAAAAGATTATCAATGCAAACGGATTCCCAAATCCACGAGAGGTAACGGCAATCGCTAACTTTATTCTTATTTCTTTTTTTTCCTTCCTTATATGGGCAAATACCACATCGAATGTCATGAAACAACTTGCATGAATACGGCACATGAAATTTGACACTTTGGTTCTGTAAATTAGGGATGCATTAAACACACAGGCCTCCAGAGACAGAGAAAGTGGAAACTGCCTCAATTACTGTTTCTAAAGCATTTCACAAACTCTAACTGGAATTACTGATGTGATCAAAAGTTCTGAATCATGAGTTACCTGCGTGCTGTCAGATTTCTAGGCAGAAAATTGCACACATGTGCTACTTAATGGGAAAACAATATGGAATATATTCTGTGCTTTTAAAAAGTTTATTTAACATTTAACTGAACGAAATGTATTGCAATAAAAATCACAGAGGTACAAAGAAACTTTTGGAAAATCGTGTGTTGACAGAATAAAATAGTTTCAAGTCAATTGTAAAGGACAAATGTTCAGGGACAGAGAAGCTGCTGTGAATGAACAGAAATCGCATTTTAACAGAACCTCTGCATGTCAACCTTCACAGGTGAAAAACTGGCATCGGACGGCCATGGACACCTGCTCCACCACGCACCAGCTCCTTGCTACAGGTGATTATGCATCTTCTGGTTTGTCTTATAAAAGCTTATCATGTAACTTTTAAATTTCTCTGTGAATACTATTATTAGTGGGTTCTAAAAAGATTTTATTCCCTGAAAGCACAGCAGCTTTCAAATACAACAAGCCTCTAAAGAAAAATGTCTTTATTTACTCCCTCCAACTAAAATCACTGCAGCAAAACAGATCAGCTTTGGATGTTAATGGAATACACAAGCTGTAAGAGTTATTATTTAAAATTAAGGCTAGGGATGGCAGTACTATCCTTAAAATTATTAAAAGTGCTAAATGCTCTTTCAAACATAAAACCAAACCACAGAAATCGAGACGACCATGTAGACAGAAAATCTCCAAAATGTTTGACTCCTCCACGAAACAAAACTATTAAACTATTATTGCTGTTTCTGCCAATGTCAACGTTTAACAAAATAATTTTAGCCATAAATGTCCAAAACAATCCTTAATCTATGTTAACTCTAAGTTAATTATTGGTATGCTCCTTTAATCCAGGAGATTGAGTTTCTAACGTATTCCTCATTTCTCAAATTTTAGATTCCCTGATTGCTCACATGGAAACGGTGACAGAGATTGTTCTTCCTACAGTTTTCACACTCTGCATCCTCATCAGTATTGTCCTTCTAATATTCTACCTTCGAAATCACAGATAAAATTGCATGCTTACACACATCTACATTTCACATAATAAATAAACTGTTCTATTCTGCTGGATAAAGTTTACCACAGGCGCCTCTTTTTATACCACTGTAGAGATAAAGAAACACTACCTTACCTACCCACCTAGTGCTTTTATAGGTTTTCTACTGAATTCTCAAAACATAATATTGTTTATCAAAACCCAAAGTAAATTTTCTTTCTGCGGTACTTCCTAATAATTTTAAGTAGCAGATTTTACGTTTCTTATTTTGGAACCACCTATGATTTTATGATATATTGCACATAGAAATGTGTATTATAAAGTAATCCAAGCACTTCCAGAATGGAATATTCCACCTCAAATTCACTTCTGCTGCAGGCAGGAACAATTTAAGTACATAATATGACCATCCAGCTGTATTTGTCCTCCTGTTGTGCTTGAAATTATTCCTCTAAAGCAAAGCAACAAACAAGTTTCCTGTTCGTCTTGTACTTTGGTTTCAATGCTGCATGTGCATATACTGAATGCAAAGCAGCAGGACATAAATCCAAAAACTACCTTATTTTTAGCTTCTTTTTAAAGGCTTTAACTATTAAACTGAGAGTTATTAAGATGTAATATTAGGAAAGGGATAAGAAATAAGATGTACTGAGAAGAAACCAGGAATTATAGAAATTACAGTTTTTAAAAAGCATGAATATTGGGGTTTTCCTTAATCTTACTTATCAATAATGATTTTTTAATGCAAAACTTTTGTCTCTAATTAGTTAATCAGCATAGACTCCACTACGTAACTGTTTAAAATTACACCACTGAAGCACTACATACCCTATCTAATCAATGTAAGAACATACACAGCAGTCAGGAATTAATCCAAACACATTGATAGGATTATGCCCAGCCAATTGTACTGAACACTTTTTTCAGAAAAGTATACAAAAGTATACGAGACAACACTGTTAAAATAATTCACTTTGCATTGAGGGGAAAAAATTAATTTGAAGAGGAGAGAGAAGCACATCCAAGAAGACTCCAAAATATAAATATGGGGACAAAGAAAAATGAAACTCAGAAGTTCACAATGCCCTGGATGAACAGCTTTCCAAATAAATCTGGATGATGAAAAGTCACTTGACACCAGGAAAACAGGACAATATTGCTTGTTTTGTTGGGTTAAGATAATTCACACTTCGAACAGAGTCTGATTGCGTTCTTAATGAATAAAAATAAAGTTTAAAAACCCAAAGTGCAGAATTTTATTGAATGTTTGTAAATATGTGAAGACAAATATCTACTATATTTTCAAAATTATACTGTACATTCATAATTACACATTTATAAACAAACTAGAAGGGTGCAGGTGAATTATGCCTGCATATGCCACACTTCAAGCAAACAACTCAGTAAGGCGGACTGTTCTTCAGATCACAGAGTGTTTCTAAATAAACTGTTGGGACACAGAGAATACTGAACTTTCCCTTTACTGTACCTGTTGAGTGCCTGCCTGCAGAGTAACATGTATTTATGCAAAGTGCACCTGACTGCACTTAGCCATCGCAATAAAATACATTCTTTCTTCGCTCATTCCATTAACTGTGGAATCGGAAAAGAGACCTGTGTAGGCAAAAGAAAAAAGATGTGATTAGCCACCACTCTTAGAAAGAGAAATTGTAGATTAGTTCACGTAGCGCCTTCAAGGACTGGTTTCCAAACTTCAGTTTTATTGAAAGGAGCAGTTTGTGACAAAAATTGAGAATGACGAGAAAGCTTTACCAAAGCATTCCCCTACATCAAACCTCATCCCAAAAAGGAAAACTATTTCTACACCAGTCTATATGCTTAATTCTTCCCCATTCTCATGCTTTTTCACTTGTTCTCTGTTTACCGCAGCAAGGCATTTCTTCTTTCCTTAGCACCCGCTTGCTTCTCTGACTGAGGCCAGCGTTCAATAACAGGTAAATCACAAACACATTCTCAGGTACACTGGCAAAGATTTTAGGAATTAGATATAAGGTACCGTGTAGATTATTTAGCGATCATGTCACATTTGAAACTATTCTGTCACTTTAACTCTAAAAACACAGCTCGGCAAAGGTGAGAAGGCAGGAATTCACCACTTTTGTGAAAACCTACATTCTAGAAATACCATCTCACCCTTTTATTAAAAGGCAAAACATCGTTTCACTTTTGCTGAAAACATAAGTAAGAAAATGTTCAGATCCACAGAATCCAGTATAAAAACTGAATTTGAAGCCTGTGCTTCATTATTTCCTGTCACCACAAATATTCCTTACCTGTATTGTTTGATGTCATATGTTCAACGGGAGGATTAGTACTAACTTGCCAGGTTGTTTTAAACTCCTTCTGTCCGTGCCCACTACTTATGTCCACCTTCCATATTTCTGGGTGATCACTGACAGAATAATCAAGAAATGTCAAAATTCAGTCAGAATTCTTCTGAATTTTAACGCCGCAAAGACTGAAACTTCTCTTACTTTTGATAAACGTTCTTGACAAGTGCTGGTCTGATCGGCAGCTGAAAGACGTGCTTCTCATTTAGAGGGTTTTCCTTATAATACTTCATGCAAATTCTACAATAGATATCAATAGTTACTAACTTTCTTTGGAGAAATGCTTGTGCAACACTGCATAAACCTTGTGCAAAATTAACTATACACTCAGATTTTACGGATTCCTTTGGTTTGCAATTTCGGTCACAAAGGAAAATGTAGCAGAAAGATCCAGCTGCTACTTCTGGGGTCTCATTATCATCAACATAAAGGAGTGCTGCTTCTTTTTTAAGAGAGTTTCTTTACAGGTCTCAAAGAGAATCTATTTGATATTGTCACTGAAAGAGCAAGAAGTAAAAATGAAATAATTACTGTGTCAAAGGGAAGAGGTTCTCATGTTTAAAATGAAGTGAGATTGCACAGCTGACCATTACTTCCAGCATGTGGTGAAGCTTTTGAACACGATGAACTTGTTCTTGTAGATCTACTGACGTGGAAATGAAGTAAGCCTGGAACAGCAAACAGCTTCTGCTCTTAACTGGACACTCAATACAATCTCAGTATAAATAATTTTCCTGTTTCTTTTGAGAAGCCAACTTTTTAAGAATGGCCCAGCAGGGTAAGAATAAAGTTCCACGCTATCAAAGTATGAACAAAGGTTCATACGGTAGGGAATAATATATAAATACAGAAACAATACAATATTTCTGCAGTATATCCATCCTCATGATTTGCAATTCAGTTTCTCAGCTTACAGGAATGATATGACTTGCATCAGTTAAGTGTGCTCTACATTATACTGCTTTCAGAGTGAAGAAAAAAAATGTATCTCACCAAGCAGTTTAACGTTGCAAGTTCCTGGCCTATAAGATGAACAGGGAAAAAAAAATTACTACAGTGTCAGATAAAACATAAGCAACATTCAGGTAATCAAACAGGGATTTCTACCAAAGAAAAGTGTCAAATCACTAGGACTGGGACATTATTTAGTGACACAATTACTCATTCAAAACAAGAAAAGTCCTGTAAAGTGGCATGGTAGAGGCATTCTCTTATTTACTACCAAGGCTGCACAATGAAGAAACCTACCACATACTTTGAGACAACCAGCCTTCTTGGGACATGTGGGTTTAGAAATAGGAAATATTAAAAAATCCGGTTAAACACAGAATGAAAACAGGATGACAAAGCAAAAAAGAAATGAAGAGTGAAGGAAAAGGAAGCACGTAACAACTATGGCAAAACACAACTCCCTTCCCAGAGACCCAGGAAAAAATAAAGCTATAATACTGACAACAAAGCCACAGTGTTTTCAAGAAAAAAAATGCACTTTACAAAAATCTTTCCACTGTAGCGTTTGTATAATCAAAACTATCTAAATACTCGGACTGTAAAACGACAGCTATTACATAGAAATACCCTTGCCTGATTTCCTCTTAACCCATGTAGACCATAAAGGAAAAGACAGAAAGAGCATAAGGGTCTTATTTTTTCCACCTATAGCAAACGGAAGACATTCTACAGTTACATAAACCTGGTGTTTATTTTACTTAAAGTTCAAACTAAAGGTTTTTTTTCAAATTGAAGCTATTGTTATTTTGAAAAAAAATAAATTTTGAAACCATATACAACTGAAAGTGCAATTACTAAGGAGGCTGGGAACAGCACTTCAGCAGATGGGAGAAGTGAGATCAAGGTTACCAAAAGCTTCATTACTTTATGCATGAAGTACCTTTTATCTTGACTTTCTAACCATGTTAACAGATATGAGGCTTACCTATAAAAAAACTGACATAATCCTTCTTCATCTTATCCAAACCAATCTCCAAGAGCATCTGAATGGGAGTGATGCCACTGAGGGAAACTGCCTCTATCTTTCCATAATAAGACTGCTGAATCAATTTACTTAGCAAACTGCTACTTCCTTGATGAATCTAAAAATTACAAGTTTTCTTGTAATGTTACTGTGTACAAAACATGATAAAAATTGTTTAGAAGTACAACACCATGGAAACAGAAGCAAACTGTGACATGTGAAAGTAATTTAAAAACAATACAACACAGAAGTGAGGCAGAGTTCAGTGACAAGAACTATATTCTACTTCAAACAACTCCAAATTTTAACATTCACTGTGAAATACAAATACATACCCACGGCTGTATCTCACCATGTTCCAGGGATTTTAAAACCAGTGTGAAACACTTTACCAACTCCCGATAGGAAGTGATACCTTAAGAAAAAAAAGTACAATATTTTATTTATCAATCCAGGCTCTCTTTTTAGTTATGTCAGGAACAACTAGCCAACATGTGCTTGTAAGAACAAAACCCCTCATTTAAAGGGTGACCTGAAATGACAGATTGTGCTGTTTTTTGTTGTTTGTCATATCACGACTTTAAAGAAACAATGATCAAGACCACTGAGCTGCATATGACTGCTAGAGAACAGCACAAGGCAGCAGCAGATTGGCAAACATATTTTGGCTACATTCTCTCTATATAC